GGGGGGGCAGGTGTGGTCCATGGATAATAGACAGTAGTCCAAAGGGTAATGGCAGGGCTGAGGCTGAGCTGTAATCATGCTGGTAGGAGGTGTGATCGCAGTTCAGAGACGTTTTAGTGGTGGGACATGAAGTTAGCAAAGGACATATCTGGCAGATCTATCTGATGTGAGAGTGGGGATTTCGATTTTTGGAATAGCTGAGGCAATGCATGTGTTTACGGGAAAATAGGAAGTGCAGAGTAGCTGTTTGAGCAAGTGTCATCATGGGAGGAAGGGAAAGTTCTATTTGGAGTGTGCATGAAGTCATCTTCTGGTGCAAGGAAGTTGTGGGAGGACATCAGCGGAAGGAAAGGATGGTTTGAGGAAGAACGATTATAGCTCGGGGGGTATATGGGACTTACAATGTCTCTTTGCATTATTAGTTTAACATTTTTCTATTCTTGTTTCCATCATAGCATTGTACGTAGTATTCCAAACAGAGGACCCAAATGCTATGGGAATATTTTATAGCTATGCCATGTCAATCTACAGCACTTACCAGCTGTTCATCAACGTCATCAACTCACCTGCCAACTACACTGTAGACCTACCGGTTATGTACGGGGTGGTATACTTCCCCTTCACCTTAATCTCTAACCTCTTGATGCTAAATCTATTAATTGCAATGATGGGGGACACCCACTGGAGGGTGGCGCAGGAGCGGGATGAGCTGTGGAGGGCCCAGGTCAGTTGGAAATAAGATATTGTTTTCCCAGAAAGCACCAAGAACTGATTCATGCATTGTACATATAACAGATGCACATTCAATATCAGAGGAAGTGTTTTTCGGAGCCTGTTATTTTTTGGCCTCGGCTATAACAACATATATGAAAAGCCGCAATGCATTAACCCTTTTGCTGCTGCTGATGTAACTACTGAATAGCCGGGAGTTTGTTTCAGGCAGCTCTAAAGCTATCCAGTCACTTCTACATGTTCATGAATGTGACCCCCCCCCACCATCACAAGTTCTGTGCTTAGCAGTCCCTGCTCATTGCCCCAGGATAATCATAGAAGGTTTCTGAAGGGAGTGCAGTGGGAGATGAGTGAACATCTATTCGTACTGGGTACAAACCTGGAAGCGCTCAGCTCTGAGCACTTTCAGGTTCAGGGCTGTCAATCCGCAATCGTTCTGGCAGGGGAGGAAGCTGATCAACTCCAGAGTCATGGAGTGCAAAGGTGACATTGGACGTCCCACACAGACCCTTCTATCACATTGGGGCGTATGATTGCAATAAAGTTCACTTAATAAAGGGAAACAGTTTTAGTCATTAAAGTTAAATAAGATAAATAGAAAACACCCCTCCAAAATTGTAAAAGCCCCCCTCCCCCCCCACGTACCAGAGTTTTTGTCGCTTTACAGGAGCATGCAATTTGAGGGTTGACATCAGGGGCGTAACTAGAAATCACAGGGCACCATAGCAAAATTTTGTATGGGGCCCTGTGATTTTTACTTACGCCCACCTGATAACCCAAACAGCCCACCTGAGGGTGACCCTGCAAAGCCCACTATAGACTCTCTATGGTAGGCTCTGCAGGGTCTCAGGTGGGCGGTCAAGCCCTCTTACCTGTCAGCCCTGATCCTCTGTCTGCCTCCTTCTCCTCCACGGCGCCTCTTTCGTGACTGGGCCCCGCCTCCACCATCACCGGGCCCGCCTCCACCATTGCCGGGCCCCGCCTCCCCCTTCTCCGAAGCTGCTGGTCACCAACTCAGCAGCGGCTGTGAGGAGGAACACGCCGCTGCACACATCACTGACAGATTGTCAGTGATGTGAATAGCGGCGCGTTCCTCCTCACAACCGCCAGTGACAGCCAGCAGCCCAAGATGCCATAGCGACCCAGACGGCCCACATGACATCAGGGCGATGTCCTGGCCCCCCTGTGCCCCGGGCCCCATAGCAGCCGCCTGGGTCGCAATCTCAATTGTTCCGTCACTGGTTGACATACTTGGTATCTAGTTACTCAACACAATCTCATATTTTATATTTCCCTAAAATTCAGGGATTATATTGGGTTTGTATGCGTTAAAATTAATATGATTGTATTTTTTATTGAAAATATAGAACTCATAAAAAGTAGCGCAAATATCGCGTGACATAAAAATTTGTAACTACCTCCATTTTATAATACAGGGTCTCTGATTTCAAGAAATATATATATATTTACAAAATGTGCATTTTGGTATGTGTGCATAAAATGAAAGAATGACTCTGGCAGCGAAAGTGTTTAAAGCCTCGTCAGCCCCTGCGCCTTTACTAACTCGTTATATGCATTTCCACCATACAGCTTGCTGCAACAACCGTGATGCTGGAGAGTAAACTTCCTTTGTACTTTTTACCTCGTCTTGGTGTTTGTGGAGCTGAATATGGGCTCGGGAACCACTGGTATTTATGGTAAATGTATAATTTTTCCTTTTATTATCCATTTTAGGCTTATTTATCTTGTTTTGAGTCTACAGCTATCAGATATAAAAGCGAATCTTGCTCTAATATACAAAGTTTGCTTATTACATCAGTTCTCCCACTCCCCATCCCAAAAAACAACTTGTGGGACAAAATGTAGAAAATAAATGTATCTTATCCTTAATTTCTTAGTAGAGGCTGATGTCATGTTCTGTCCAGTGAGATACCGGGAACTGAATACCCCAAAACTCGCCAGGAGATGCTCCAACGCAGCTAAGAGCTGCTTATTGCGATATTTCGGATCTTCAGTGTTCCCAAGATCTCGCTAGAAGGATCGTGACATCACCTTTGCTCAGGAAGCTGGGGGTAAGGTATTTTCTAACTTTTTCCTTTTTTTTTCCTTTTTTTTAATATGCAGATTTGTAATGGGAGTGGGCTGATAAGCGGGGGTTGTAAGAAGCAGATTTAGCATTTTAGTGGAAGGACCACTTCAAATGCACAGACTATGAATACTCACCTTGAAAATAATTGAAAACCAAAATACTAAATTAAAGGCTTGGTCCACCTTTAAGACCATGTTTCATGCTGCGTCCATGGTCGCATACAGAATACCCAAACCCTAAACTGTTCTCCCTTTACCTGAATCACATGGTGCATCATACAAGAGAACCCTGCTTAGTTTTTAATTTAGTGCAGCTGTGCATGGCTAATCCTATGGCTAATCCTATGGCTAATCCTATTGATATCTGCTGGCGGCCATCTTGGTGAGAGAGGAGGGGACGTTCACCTAACGGAATAAGGTCCCCTCCTCACTCCTGAAACTGTCTACGACCAAGTGCCCGACTTTTCAAAGATGGTGACACCAAAATGACTGTCACTCATTTTGGTGTCACCTCACCAATGGTGTCACATGCGTGCGGGCCACACTCCACTTGTGACGCCACTGACAGTAGGTACACTTCGTTTTTCCAATACATGACCGCACAACCAAGAGCTACACAAGACAAATGTTTTAGAGCAAACATGTGCTTTGTCCAGCAAAAACTGTAGTGCTCCCTAACATTGGTGGTAAGTGGAGAAGTGCCTCCTTACACTGGTGATAAGTGAAGGACCCTAGTACACTAGTAGTCATTGGGAGGAATGCTCCTCATATTGGTGGTCAAGGGGAAGAAAGCTCCTCATATTGGTGGCCATTGGGAAGAATGCTCCTCATATTGGTGGTCATTGGGAAGAAAGCTCCTCATATTGGTGGTCATTGGGAAGAAAGCTTCTTATATTTGTGGTCATTGGGAAGAAAGCTCCTTATATTGGTGGTCAGTGGGAAGAATGCTCCTCATATTGGTGGTCATTGGGAAGAATGCTTCTCATATTGGTGGTCACTGGGAAGAAAGCTCCTTATATTGGTGGTCAGTGGGAAGAATGCTCCTTATATTGGTGGTCATTGGGAAGAAAGCTCCTTATATTGGTGGTCAGTGGGAAGAATGCTCCTCATATTGTTGGCCAGTGGGAAGAATGCTCCTCATATTGTTGGCCAGTGGGAAGAATGCTCCTCATATTGTTGGACAGTGGGAAGAATGACCCCCTTACAGATAGCTGAAAAGATCATGTGTCAGTGGTAGATTATCTGAGAGAGAGACATTGCTCATTGCTCAAGAAGCCCCTACCAACCTCTGGAGGAACCCTGGTTGAGAAAGGCTGACCTAGTTCAATACTTTGAAATATGTCTTTACACTAAATTTCTACATGCAAGCTGTAAACTAAGGCCAGCCTTGGGTGGGCATAAAAGAGGTAAGCTCGAGGTTGGTGTCATTGGTCATGCTGCCTAGTAGTCCAAAGATAGGAAGGACTTGGTGCAGTGTTACACAGTCCACCGAACTGCAGGCTCTATAGAATTATGTCAGCCTCCCCTGATAAGCTACCACCTATGACTATGTGCATTCCTGAAAAACTATACTTAGCTGCAGGCTAGTTATTGAATACCATCTGTAACTCAAACTTATAGTATTACAGATGGACTTAACCAAAATCATAGCTGTGTATGTCTGTTTGTGTACATTACCAAACTGAACAAATAAAAATATACAAAATCATTCATCACTTCACAATTATACATAATCCCTTTATGAATATTATCCTAAAAACATGATTAGTACTTTAAGTACGCTTCCAACATGTATATGCATTTCCGCTGTATCTAGTGGCGCTGAAAGTTACTTTTTTCTTCTAGTGTGAAGAAAGACATCCAGGAAGATCAGAATCTGGTGACCCTGCCTACGCAGAGTTATATATATCCAGAGACTCAGGCTATGAGGAAGAATTCTACCAGTAGCAGCAACAAGGACAGTGAAGGAGACCAAGACCCCCAATCTAAGAGAAGATCGAGTCGGGGCTGGCAGATCCTCCGTAGAGCCACCATTGATGAATTACAGCGCAGTTCTATCCTTTCTAAACACTCAGAACCAGAAGTCTATTACATTTAATGTTTCCAGGTTAATTTCCACCAGATGTACTTGGCGATGCATGCATATCAAGAACCCATTTCAATGGAAAAGTGCACTTTAATGCACCAAAAATGTTCATTGCGCACAGGCTTTTTCCAGTGGATCTCAATGCATACTCTTCTGAAAACAATGAAAGTCCAAGCATTCAGCCTCAAGTGGGGTTCAGGATTACTGAAAACATCCTCTGTGGGACCCCTCCAAACACCATCTGTGGGAACCCTTCATGCAGGAACACAAAAGGTTCAATTCATTTAGGGAGGTTTCCTCTTAGTCTGTTTTCTTGGTTGATCTGGCACCATGCATACCTGACAATTTTGTGAAACTGAGAAGAGAGACATTTGTATCAGTGGAGGACTGGGAACATTTTGGCCCAAGAGGCAAGCACAACCAACTGGCTTTTTCATGGTAGTGATGGTTACCTGTGGGCTAAAGAATGTGCAGCACACAAAATGTGCTGCATTGCTGCAATGATTGGTGGCCATGGTGAAAGGTGGACATTGTCCTAGAGAACACACGCAAAACACCATTTCACATATATAGGCAAAAAGGGGGATTGTAAAGAATGAACAATGAAATTCTCTATGAGCTGTACTAGATCACTGCTGTTCTGTAAAAATGATATGGACTTGATGAAATAAACTACAATGCCACTACAAAGAACACCTGAGCTAGTCACATACGGCTCTGCAACAGAGGAGCTTGCACTTTAATAACACCCCAGTCACATTATGTTATTATACATTTATATAGAAATTACATATACCACAGCGCTGTACAAACAACAATGAGCCATCACATCAGTCTCTGCACCAGAAGTGCTTACACTTTAATGTACCCCTTTACAGTCACACACTATTATTATTATACATTTATATACTCTATCTGACATCCACTATATGTAATAAAAATGACCATTATAATGGTAATCTTGTATTCCGGGTACATGAAGACTCCATAATGATTTGCTCTGGATGAATGATAGGGTTGCCACCTGTCCAGGATTCAACCGGAAAGTCCGGGTTTTCGAATGCTGTGTCCTGGTTTCATGGCAGCAGAAACCCGGACACATCATGTCAGGCAGACAGGGGCAACCAAAATTAAGATAGGGGCTACTGGCCCCCTACTGAAAATAGTCTCAACTGTGATATTTACTTATGAATAAGCCACGACTCATTCTCCCAAAAAACTGTCTGTGCGTCGCTAGAGTGTTCGGGTTTCCCTGGAAGAAAAGGTGGCAACCTTAGTGAATGTATTGGGCTCAATTCACACGGCTTGAACACAACTATAAGGCTGTCAGTTTTTAGACATGTCATCTTCAAATCTCAGCTGTGTCAAATAAGGATCCAAATCCAGACGTGTTATCTCTGTGAATTGAGTATATTGAGTGTTCAAGTCTGACAAATCTTTGCTGAACTGAAAACAGAGTCTGTGCTGGGCGCAGTGACATCACAATGCATGAGGTCACATGACATGATGTACAGGCAAGCATTATAAGCACTGCCCCTGCACTGCTCATTATATGCCACAGAGGAGCGATATTGTGCGCATCTCTTAGGCATTTCTGCTGCGATTTTTGGATTGCAGTAGTTTTTTTGGCGAATATTCACTGTTATAGAGGCGGTTTTTGTATTGCTTATACTTCTGGTGACATATTCACCCCTTTCTAGGCATCTAATATCATCAGGATGCCCAGAGAGAGTACTGGCCGTTCACGGCGTGACCGCCGTGAATCGCCATCACGTAGGGAGGAAGGGCCATCTACAGCAGGTAAGACGTGTATAAATTATTGATAGCCTGTAAAGAGCTTCCAATCAGATCTGAGATATAGGAAATAGAAGTCTCTATCTCTAAACCTTGTGGAAAGAAAGTGTTTTTATTCACAGGTTACATGATTGGGCTCAATGCACATACCTACCGCGTTTCCCCGAAAATAAGACACTGTCTTATATATTCCCCCCCCCCC